GAAATAATAATTTCGAGCTTCACTCAGCCCGCCCTTTTAATAAAGGGTTATTTTTTATGAATTTCACCCAGCTCGCCCCTTTAATAAGGGGATGTTTTGCCCAAGCTTTATATGCTTGCCTTTTAATAAGGGAGTTAAAGTTTTTCACTTTCGTGGACTTATCCTTTATACTTGCCTTGCTTTGTGGCTATGGTGGTAGTGACCCATCAAATTTGAAGTGCATGTGACTAAGCTTGGTTCCTGGTAGAAAAGACCATCATTGATGCTTGATGGTTAAAAACCTCATGGGACCACCTTGGACACAGTGGACTCATTGATTGGAGAAACTTCATTGGACTTAGAGTCCTTCCCGGTGCGTAGAGACTTACCAGGTTATGGTTTCGGGGGATTGACCACCGGTCGTGGACGATTAGTGCCCCCGAGGGGTCACTAAAAGAGAGAGACTAAAAACCCGACTAGCTCGATGTACCAAAGTTGGTACGTCAATATTCTAAACCTTGTCATCATATATAGATCGATGATTGATATCGTGTGATCCACTATTCTACCCCCGATGGTGGGATCTTGGGTGATGACCCATTCTATAGACGTTTATACAGCGGACGGGGTGCCTGGTGCTGCAACAATTTACAGTTGTCTAAAAATATTAGATTGTGTTATCAATGATTACTAAAAATTAACCTGCAATGAATTATCAATCCAAAATTTTGCATAATCTGAAGTCGATAGGCAATTCCTGTAAGGGAAGAGAGGTGACTACTGTTAGGGGTGATCACGGATCGGATTGGTTCGGTTTGGGGTAAAGTTCAATTCGAACCGATCTTCACGGATTGGAGAAATTTGAAACTGAACCGATCCGTGGGGACCTTCAATCCGAACCAAACTGATCCGTGAAATAACGAATCGGATCGGTTTGGACGGATTGGGCTTTTCAAATAGCCTAATAAAATTAGACTTTGGCCCATTAAAATCTCAAACTAGTAATTAAAAACTAGTAAGTAAAACGTAAATTATATACCAGGTAATATGCTAACAGTAATAGCAATAAATTTGTAAGTCATATACCAAATAACAGCAATAGATTTGTAAATTATATACACAAGAATAGGCAATATAAATTATCCAAATAGAATAATGAATAAAAAAAAATAGAAATACAGTAAGTATATTCAATATTGTATATATATAGTCATATATATATAATATATTAATATATTATTTAGGCAACGGTTCGGATCGGTTCGGATTGGTTTTTTTAGGACTTAATCCGTTAACCGAACCGCAAATATCGGATTGCTATTTTTCTAAACCATCACCGAACCATGATATCTGAAAACTGAACCAAACCACACGGATCTAATTGGTTTGGACCGGATTAACGGATTGATAGACTATTTGCTCACCCCTAACGACTGTCGTCTAGTAGGTGAAGGCTTAGTGTCCAGCGATTGGCTTGATGCCTGGTGGATGGGGGCGTGGTACCCAACGGCTGACAGATGATGGCCTGGTGGCTAGTACCTCGTTGGGTCCAATGATCGCCCTTAATTTAGGAACCTCCTTGGGAATACAGACCTCATTAGACATGGGATCTTAAGGGACATTGGACCTCCTTAGACTTGAAGGCCTCGATACATTCTTGGGTGTAGAAGGCCACCCCGATTGCACGAACGAACGGAGTAATGAGACTCCATTGCTAGAGACATCCTCAGTGGTAGAGGCTTTAGTAGTAGGTAGAGACCCCCTTATTGATAGTGATCTTCTTGATGGGTGGAGACCTACTCATTTATGTAAGCGCAGAAGGACCAGGCCTTAGTCTTCAATGATCAGGCCTTGGTAGTTGGCTGCTGCCAGATATGAGATAGAATTTGGTCTTAGACAATCAAACCTTAGTAGTGAGGGGACCAAGCATCACTAGATGGAAAACACCACATTGGACTGCTTGGGTCGATGTGCCAAATTTTGATTATTGTCATCGTACATTGGGTGGTATCACGCAACCCACCGTTTTGCCCGCAATATGATGGATGGGTAATCATAATGTAGAGACCCATCCTTATATAAGAACATGGAAACCCGTTGTCAACTGATGACCGATGGTTTCCATGATCGGAAGCTTTTGTCTTGCCATCAGAGCCAAGTCACGTCAGGATTATTATTTCTTCAGAGAACTAATCGTTTCCACAAACGGCGTCAGCTGTTGATGCGAAATTCCTCGCGATTCGGAACGACGATGTTTACCTACAAAACAAAGGGATGTCACCTTGAATGACACTGGTGGGGTGCCAGCCGAGGACCCTCCGATGATCAAGTTAGTACTTGTAATCGTATCACATAATAATTATGTAATCTCTGTTTAGGGGTTTTTCCCGTACTTTCTTTAACAGCTTGGTGCCCTATTTATGACTGTCGATTGGAATCAAATTTGTTCTGCCGATGTCGATGGTTGAGGTCTCCCTTATCATTCGCTTGTGCGAGATTAGAGGAGATCCGTTTGTTGCCAGATTTGTCGGAAATATGATTTATTCCTTTGACTTCCTCAAATTGTGACAAGGTTATCATTACCCTGTTGAACCACGTCATCTTTCATTATCCTTGAGAATGAAATATTATCATTCTTATCCAATGGAAATATCATCGTTCGAAAGTCGAAGAGGTCTGTCGGCTGATCAACACTTAGTTGTCTCTATCGTTAGGTCAAGGTAGGTTAGGTTTATTTTTTCGTATCATCTGCTATATAAAACATGTGTAAGAAATACCTTACTGTTTAAATAGTGCATATAAATTCATGTATTTTGAAATTTTGTAGCAAATTGCCCCTTGTCTACATATTTCACTAAATTTTTTTTATGACAATCCCAAAATACCCTCAAGGGAATTTTAGGTTTTTTTTTTTTTTTTTTAATAAATAAAAAATTAAAACAATAAATAAATAATAAATAAATTTTTTTGGGGGGTTTTATAATTTTTTTTTTAAAAAAATGCCCATATTTTATTATTTATTTATTATTAATGTTATTATTATTATTTTTTTTTGGCTAAAGACATTTTAGGTATTTCAGTATTTAAATTGAAGAATTGTCCTTATTTGTTCAATTTAAAAAATTTAAGGTTTTTTTAGGGTTGCAAGTTGGGCTGCCCAACCCAATCCAACCCAGCCCTAACCCAACCTCAACCCGAATCGGGTTGGGTTGGGCCAGCCCGAATTCGTTATAACTCGGACCGAATATTTTCGGGCGGGTTAGGTCGGGTTGAGTAAATTTTTTATATAAATTTTTTTTTTCGAAATTTTTTATATATTATATATATTTGATTATATTATTATTTATTAAAAATATATATATATATATTTAGGGCAAATCATTTTAGCCTCCCCAATCGCCTCCATCTTTATTCTCGTTCTCAACTCTGAAATTGGCCCCCCTTTCTCTCTGAGCAACTGCAAACTACAAAATCAACAAGAATCAGAAGTTCAAAACCCATATATTTCAGTTTATCTATCTATCTGCAAGAATCAAAAGTTGAAAACCTATTACCTATATCAAAACCCCATATCGGCATATCATTTCAGATTGTTCAAAAAATCAAAACCCATTATCTTTCAGTTTCCATCGCCCGCTGTTCCAGTTCGGGTTTGCCGTTCGCATGCTTCAGCCGCTGTCTCTCAACTCTCAAGCTTCCCCCCTCCCCCCCCCCCCCCCCCCTCTCTCTGTGCAACTGTTAACTTGTATGTATGGGTTTTGTTTTAATTTTTGGAAGTGACGACGGCGGCGGCAAAGGCAGAGGGACGGCAGTGGTGGTCGATTAGCGGCTGAGGGCGAGGGATGGCGAGGACGGCTGAGGGACGGTGGTAGAGAGAGAAAGAGAAAGGAGAAAAAAAATAAATTTTTTTTTTTAATTTTTTATTTTGGGTTTTGGGTTGGGTTGGGTTCGGGTTGAGCCCGAGCCCAACCCGAATATATCTGGGTTTTGACAAAACTCAATCCGAACATGAACCTAATTTGTGAATTTTAAGCCCTAATTTCAAAATTTCTGGGTTGGGGTTGGGCTGGGTTAGGCTAGCCCGCCCAGGTTGCAACACTAGGTTATTATAACACCGGGAGTTATTTGCACATTTTGGCACTTTTTTTTTTTTGACACTTTACCCAATATTGATATAATAAAGAGCTTAGAAAAACATTTGAAATTGTCTTAGACATATAATAGAAACAAGAAATTGTTTAGGAGTCATCAAATCTCATTATTAAATGCTTCGTTGAGACAATTTTTGACCTGAATTAACAAATCTCTCTAATGGTCAGTACGAAAATTTCATGACTCTTCTCATGAGGTAACTCTCCTGATGGTCTTACTCTAACTATAATTACTCATTTCACATATCTGATACAATAGTTCACAAAAAATAGTCAACGGACACATTTAGTGGGTGTAAAATCCATTATGATTATTAATTTTTTTAAACAAAAAATATATATCATAAGATATAATCTAAAAAGCACGGATACGGACACAATACGGATATGACAATGCAACAATTGTCAAAAAAGACACATACGACGTGCATACATCAAAAAATAATATTATAATATTTTATTATATATAAAAAATAATCATTTTTATTCATTTTATCCACATAATCATGAATGAAATCACTAATTTGAAATTTAGAATCCAATTTTGTTATTTTAAATTTAATATTATTTTTCGTATTGGTTTATAATATATTTTAGAATGCATTGAATTTCATTCTCTAAAAAAAAATAATTATTTATAAAAAAATAATAATAATTACAAAATCACCCCATTGTGTTTAAGAAGTAATCAAAATGTGTCATTGCCGTATTCATATCGTATTTCAGCCATATCTAATTAAAAAATAAAATATTCAAATTTCAAGACACTTCCAATAGTGTTGAACACCCCTAGACGGAGTGTTGGTGCTTCCTAGGATATAACATATTAATCTAAAATCACGAGTTAACAATGGGTCCCTTTTGAAATTTCGAAGGCGCGCCTATTCATTCAATTTCCACTTTCTATCTTCAAAATTCCATTTTTCTCTCTTCAAACAAATCAAACCTCTGTAACTCAAAAATCACACCATTGTTCATCACTAAGTTCCGATTTAGGGTTCTGTATTAGAAACAAGAAGAGCAAAACCAAGTATGTGATTTAGGGTTCTATTCTTTAACCTCTGTTGAGATCCTATTGATATATGATAGAAAAGACCTCTCTCTATATTTAACTAAGGAGGGCTCGGCTAGAGAGCAAGAGAGGAAACCTAGAGGAAGAGGAAGTGAGGGCTCAACGAAGTCATACAAGAAGATCAGTTCCACCGGATTGTCAAAGCTTTGGAGGTTCCGAGATCTATACACCAACAACGACAAGTTCATGTTGTATGATTCTTCTTCTTCTTTTTTTCTTATTTGATGTTTCTTAGCTTTTCAATTTATCTGATTTTACTTTAAATTGCAATTCCCCAATCAGTTCATTTGATTTATTTTATTTTTCACAAATTATTTCTTCGGAAAATCGGATGTGGCATCGATTTGTTATCTAGCCCGTTGATGGTGTTGAGATTGTTGTGTCTAGTCTGTTCTTTGGCTGGAATATTTCGACTCAACCTGGTTTCTCGTGTAGCTAGCGATGGTGGTGTTGGGTTTATAGGAAATGGACTGGTTCGTGATCCGATTATCTCACAAAATTCCATCGATTATTGCTTCTCTCTTTCTCTATTTGACTGCAATAGAATATATATTTTTTAATATTTTGCTCTGTATGATCATATATGTGCCAGGAAAAAAAAAAATCAAATTCGCAAAATTAGATTTTGGATCTGTTGTAGATTTTTCCTATTTTAAGAAAAAATGTTTCCATATGTTCCTATTTGAATTGTTCCTTCACTTTGTAGGTTGAAGGGGATGGGTATTCTCTTTATTGAAAAAGAGGAAAAAGGGGTCCTATGATGGAGGATCGATATTCAGCCCTTGTCGATGTTCAAGGAGATTCCAATAGGTACTCTTTAGATGAGAATTTTTTGTATATCTCTCGTCTTTTAGCGGCAATTAAGTGAACTATGAAATATTTCATTGCATCATTCAGGAAGAGATGAGAATTAGAAATAATTTTTAGGGCTGAATTACATAATTTACCAAATATAGGAATTTGAAACTATTTTAGAAAGCAGACAATTAGCCTCCCCAATTTTTTTCATGATAAAATCTAAGCATAAGAATTAGCCATTCTTGTTTTTTGGTCTTGAAGCACTAGTATTCTAATAATTAATGGTATACTTCATGTTTGACATTGCTGGTTGTTGGTTGGTAATTGCTATTTTTGAAGAATATAATAAGTGTTAATCATCACTAGCATCACTTATGTTACCAAGTATGGCCATGATTAGTTTTGTTAAGTTGTGATTATGTCAGATTATTCAAAAAGATGATTAACCAATATATACTGGTTGATGCTTCACTCTATATAAATTTAACGATGACATGATTTTCCTATAATTATTAGAGTATGAAACAACAATGCAGAATGAACGGGCAGTATATCTAGCAGGCTTGTTTAATAGCAAACTCTACCACCTGTTGCATGTCAAGTAGACATATGGGTATATTTTTAATGTTTATTTTGAATGTGAAGTATATTGATATATATATATATATATATATATTATTGTTGGCACAAGATTACTTATTGATTTTGTTTCTCTGTTTTGACCAATGGATAATAGAACCATCTTGGATTGATAAAAGCTTGTCCCATCTAAAAAGAGAAATACCAAGATATAGTGGAATAGTAAAACCATCAAGGTACTTTTATTTCTGTAATATTCCATTTCAATACAAGATGTAAAATACTTTTCTTTCTTGTCATGTTTATGATGCCAATTGCCTTCCCAAATTTATTTTGACCTTTTTGATGATTATATCCTAGGAATATAAATTATTGACTCGTTGGCTAAACAAGTGTATGCAAAACCCATATCCATTTATTTAATTTGCCTTACAACGATCCACTTTGGTTAATTAGTTCCTAAGAACACTTGTTTGTAATGATGTGGTTACATTGTGCTGTAGATATAAACATACACCTTCAGTGGTAATCTCTTTCAACCTTGTTCTTCTGATACCACAACTACATAACCTTTTCTTTAAAAAAATTTCTATAAGTGCAGTTCAAGTTTATGAGGTGTTACAAATTGGAGATAATATGAGTTTGAACATAAGAAACTAATTTTTAATATTCTATAGCTTTTTGTTATTAACTATCTTTTGGTTTTATGAATTTTTAAGCCAATTATTTAATTAGAAGTAAACTATTAGTATTTTTAGCATCTATAGTTCTAATCATTTTTAATTGTTTCATTGGATATAATGATTGTTTGATATAACTTTTAAAACGAATCTGTTCAACATGTAGTTCATTGTAATTCAATCTCACTAATGGTTTTTTCTTTTCTTTTATTTTTACTTTTGAAAGAAAAACGAAAAAGAACATCTTTTCTAAATTCTAAACTTTGATTATTTATTAGTTCCATGGTTTTTTAGCATTATGAATTTTTCCTACTATCATTAAAATCAAGTGATAATATTGAAAGTTGCAGTTAGAAAAATTAAAATAGAAATAATAGAAATAAATGTTTATGCTTTCAGTATTTGTTGTGCACTGCACCCTAACGAATGTTTGGTAGCTATTCCTCAGTTTAATTTTTCATGGCCTATTTAAACTACATAATATTGACTTGGATATGTAATAGTCTCATAGTTTTAATCGTTTTGTGAATTTGATATTGGAGTGTTTTATATCTCAAGATTTTTAATCCAATCATGTGAAACTGATGATCTATATTTTGTAATTTATTGGGTTGGTGCAAGGGTATAAGAGTCCATTGTGGGAGGATGTCTAACTTATGATGATGTTTACAAGGAGGTGAACCCCAAAAGGTGACTACCAGGAAGGTGTTACAAGGTTCAATGCTTGGACCAAATATAACGCTTGAGAGCAGTCGATTTAATGATACATGATCAAAGAAAGTTTAAAACCTTCTGTGGCCTACTTGATGATTTAAAGAAACCAGGGATTTTGATGCATTAGAATTAATGAGTAGTCTGTAGTTATGTTTAGTTATAGCGTATTTGGATCATATTATTATGGTTGGACTAAATTTCAAATTATCTTCTTCTTCTTCTTGGTTTTTATTTTTTTTGTTTTTTTTTTTTATTTTTTTTTTTATTTTTTTTCAAATTTAGAATCTAGTTGTAGTTATTTGTAACTTTATCTCTGTAACAGAGGCTTTGGCTCTTTGACAAGCTTTGCTCTTTGTAGTGGACCATTAGTTTCAAAAGGTTACCTTTGAATGCGATGCATTATCAGTGGTTAATATTGTCAATAATTATAGATCTATTTGTAATGGCGTGGTAGTGATGTTGGAAAATATTATCAGAGGCATAGATGTATTAAGTAATGGCATGGTAGTGACGTTGGAAAACTTCCAACTATTGTTGCAGGAGCATATCTACGGATAAACATGGAAGTCCATGAGATGTTTATACACTATATGGAGCGCGCGTTTGGTGCCGAACCTTGTAAATGCAAATAATGCATGACATTGACATCACAACTACTGTTACATTGTATTTAAATTAAGTTAAATTTTATAAACATCAATTTCCAGACATGTCAAAGTGCAATTATAAGCAATATAGTTCTTATACGCTTTCAGTGTAAAAGAAAAATACTGAAACCATAAAAATAATGTAGAAGTTGAAACCATTATGTTTTTTTTTAACGTACATTCCAAAGAAGATAAAGAGATGAATAGCGTGATGTTGGTGAGAAGAAAGTTGGGACGTAGGGTAGGAAAATGTTGTGATATACAATTTGTACCAAGATATATTTATTTATGTATTTGTACAATAAGTGGAATGTTGGTAAGATGAAAGTTGGGATACAAGATGGTATGCTGTAGATGCAGATGGTATGTTGCATTTACCACATAGAAGAAGTTGCGGGCATACCATCTGATCTACCATCTGTTCTAGAACATACCATTTGTTCTATAAATGTTGTGATACAGAAGAAATTGTAGGTTAGGGAAATGTTTGTAGAGAGATTAGAAAACATATAGATAAGAGTTGAATTAAATTTTGAGATAGTGTGGATGCAAGTACTCTCTTCAGTAGGAATATATTGGGATGTTGTGTATTACTTAGTCATGAAACAAAGAATTAAAGATCAGGATTATTTGTACAAATGTATATGCATAAGCGTATAAGTTAAAATTGAAATATATTAGTTTGTCCTTAAAATTTGGAAAACGTATAGATAAGAGTTGTCATGAAATCAAGTAACAAAAGATCGGGATGATTTGTACAAATATATATATTTTTTCATAGTTGGTACTCACACACACATGCCTCTTCTGAGGCTTGACTTCTTGACCTCCCTTTGAGAAGACCGCTAGGCATACAAATATATTTGCATAAGCTTATAAGTCAAAAAATTTAAATTTGAAATATATTAATTTACACCTAAAAATTGGAAAACGTATAAATTATAGTTGAATTAAATTTGAGATAGTGTGGATGCAAATAATCTCTTCAGTAGGAATATATTGGGATGTTATGCATAACTTAGTTATGAAACCAAGTAACTAAGGGATGATTTGTACAAATATATTTGCATAAGTCTATAAGTTAAATATTAGTTTATCCCTAAAAATTGGATAACATATGGATAAGAGTTTAATTAAATTTGAAGAATTGTGGTTGCATCTATTCTGTTTAGTCAGAATATATTGGGATGTTATGTATAACTTAGTCATGAAACCAATTAACAAAAGGTCGGAATGATTTGTACAAATATATTTCCCAAAACCTATAAGATAAAACTTGAATTTGAAATATACTAATTTGAATTTAAATAGTGAAGCCTAAAAATATGTGATTCTTTCTACGTTTGTGTTGGGATTTTATGAATAACTATTTGTGGACCTATACTACATCTATGTTGGGTTTCTTCCTAAGGTGATTCTAGCTAAGTTTAATATTGGGAATTAATAGACATTTTGTAAATTCACCCTGATTACTTCAAGAATAGTATGGACTTACTTTACGTAATGATGAAACACTATATATATTTTTGCTCAATCCTTTGGGATATATTGGACTACTAAAAATTTTGCTCCTTCCCTTAGGGTGAATGTCTATATTGTTGAATCATATGAATTATGTGTTGAATACTTTGTTTTGACAGCAAATATAATGAATTATTTGCTTAAATGGTTATTTTTGTTGGGTTTAAATCCTTATATTGTGGTGTTAACAGAGAAAAAATAATTCACTCATCAATTGGGATATGGACAAAACTTGGATAAAGAAATTTGATAAATTTTCATATATACTTTCAGATCACCTATAAATGTAACTATCTTTTATACAAAGTTTGTTTCTCACTATCTATAAATGAAAGTCTAGACTTTCAAAGAAAGGCGATGCCATAGAATAATCACATTACACCAAAATGGCTCATAATGTCGGAAATAGATCCCACAATGGCTCAAACAAAGACGCGACCATTTTGACGACTTCAACTTTATGTTGATTGAAAATGGGGCAACCGAATTTGCAGTGCTCTTGAACATATCCTTATCAGAACAGTCATCTCCTATACAAAACACAAAATTGGTGGCTTCCCTTTACTTCACATGGTTGCAACGAGGCTTTCTACAACTACACCCTTGCTTACACCTTATATTTACATAATAACACCATCCATTACAAAGTGAAGGAAAGATTGAGATTACTAAGAACAAAGTGATTTTATACATACGCGTTTCACAAGAAAACCAATCTAAATCAACCACACACAAAAAAGCCATCAAATAATATTCCCATTTGGACGAACTAAAAAAAAAAAAAAAGATTTTTGACAGATTAAGGGAATACAACCTAAATTGTATATATTGATTAATTTATAAAAAATATCAAATAAAAAGATTCCAACCTCCGAGGGCTTCCAAATTCCAGAAAATCGAGCTCAAACACAAACAATACCATAACATAGAAAATTATAAGATTGGACTGACTTTCTTGAAATTCTCAACAATCGGCAAATCAATTGCCAATAGGTTCTGAAATGGAACCCAAAATCTCCCAACATTTGGTTAAACAAAATGGAAATCTTATATAAAGAACAAATAAACCCTAGAAAAATATGAAGACACGATTTTTTCCTTACAAAGAAGAAAAAAAAAGAAAAGAAATACTTTGTGTTGGATGGAACTGATAAATGGTGAGAGAGGGAAAAGAAGTATTCTATAAAGGTCTGAATGCGATGACCAAATTGCATTTACCTTGTACCTAAATAACCAATTGTACTTGAGTTGCTCACAACCGGATTAGCAAAAAAAATCTTTTAGTCATCCCAATGCCTTTTGTAATCTGTTGCGTTGGCCACTCACTGGCCTCTAATAGTGCGCCCACCCAGGATCAATCACGTAATTCATGGTCCTCACCATCTCTTCGATTGGCGTCGATGAATTGGGTTGGCTGCAATAACTGCAATCTGATGCGTTGTTTAGTGTTTAATTGGGTGAAGAATATTTTAATGCCCTTTCAATGGTGGAGGGGAGAGACGAGAGCGAGGGGGGAAGACGCCACGGATGCCTCTGGGTGCTATTTGCCTTGCCGACCACCATCTGAAGAGGAGGGAGAGAATTAGGGCGATGGTGATCGAAGGTTATTTAAATTTTTAGAAAAAAAAAAAAAGTTATTTGGTATAAAATATAAAATTTCTTTTTTATTTCGTATTAAGTATAAAATTTTTTTTCCATACTTGTATAGAAGTATTCAGTAAGTTTTTTTTTTACTCAATTGTTTTTGAGTTAAAAAAACTTACTCAAAATTTACTGTTGCAGTCTCTCACCGGCTGCAACAGATTTTGATCTCCCAAAGGCAGCCGTCAGAATCAACTTTTCTTTAGTTGATGCGTTGTTTTGTGTCGGTATTCTTTAATCGATAAAAGTTGTCGATGGGGCCCAAAGAGCACCCGGACTTATCTTTTAATGAATTCCAAAGTAATTTTCTTTTGGAATCCGTCAGATCCAGTCTATAAATAGATAGACTTAAGTTTTGTAATAGACAGAATTCTCCCGAAAGAGATTAACCAGTCATTGACACTCTCTCGAGAAAACATAGTTTGTAATCATTTCAGACTTTCAGTAATACAGTTTTGTATTTACAGACTTCCGCTAGTGCATTCGTAACAAATAGTTTTTTTTTTACTCAATTGTTTTTGAGTTAAAAAAACTTACTCAAAATTTACTGTTGCAGTCTCTCACCGGCTGCAACAGATTTTGATCTCCCAAAGGCAGCCGTCAGAATCAACTTTTCTTTAGTTGATGCGTTGTTTTGTGTCGGTATTCTTTAATCGATAAAAGTTGCCGATGGGGCCCAAAGAGCACCCGGACTTATCTTTTAATGAATTCCAAAGTAATTTTCTTTTGGAATCCGTCAGATCCAGTCTATAAATAGATAGACTTAAGTTTTGTAATAGACAGAATTCTCCCGAAAGAGATTAACCAGTCATTGACACTCTCTCGAGAAAACATAGTTTGTAATCATTTCAGACTTTCAGTAATACAGTTTTGTATTTACAGACTTCCGCTAGTGCATTCGTAACAAATAGATTTTTTTTTACTCAATTGTTTTTGAGTTAAAAAAACTTACTCAAAATTTACTGTTGCAGTCTCTCACCGGCTGCAACAGATTTTGATCTCCCAAAGGCAGCCGTCAGAATCAACTTTTCTTTAGTTGATGCGTTGTTTTGTGTCGGTATTCTTTAATCGATAAAAGTTGCCGATGGGGCCCAAAGAGCACCCGGACTTATCTTTTAATGAATTCCAAAGTAATTTCCTTTTGGAATCCGTCAGATCCAGTCTATAAATAGATAGACTTAAGTTTTGTAATAGACAGAATTCTCCCGAAAGAGATTAACCAGTCATTGACACTCTCTCGAGAAAACATAGTTTGTAATCATTTCAGACTTTCAGTAATACAGTTTTGTATTTACAGACTTCCGCTAGTGCATTCGTAACAAATAGTTTGTAATCATTTCAGACTTTCATTAATACAGTTTTGTATTTACAGACTTCCGCTAGTGCATTCGTAACAAAGAAGGTGCCCTAGAGAGCAGGGACTTCCCGAAAGGGAAACCCTTCTCTTTCTAAGGTATGACTTCCCCAAAAATATTGTATGATTATGTCATTTAATTTTTGCAATACAATTTACATTTTGGTAGCATGCTTGGGTATGATTTTATCTCTTACTTAAAACTGCTATAAGTATTAATATGCTGTAACATCATATGGCTTGCCCAAAAGGAATGTTCTTTTATGATCATCATCTCTAGCATATGATAACAGCATGCGTTGCACTCCTTACTTTGTATCTTTGATATGATCTGACCAAGTACGAAGACACTTGCTAGTAACCCTGAAGGATGGTTACCCTTGTCCGCTTTGAAGGGGTAAACAGGCCAGGAGAGCCGCACCAAGTACCCGTGTTTAGGACAGTAGGGCATCTGGGTGAAGCTGGGGTGTAGTAGGCGGAAGGCGACGAGCCGGATGAAGAAGGCAGCTCCACCTGATTATGTCTAGAGTGGTATCCTAAACTAAGGAACAAGCCTAAAGCCATATGTCTGATGTTGTGTTACTCTTATGTGTGTTAGTACAAAGTTTTATGTTTTGAGTAGTTTTATCATTTAAGCAGTAAGACTATTTATGTTTATGCAAAATACAAAAACAAATGAAAAACATGATAAAATGGGAAGTAGTAACCTTAGATCACATGGGAATGTGGGAGTACCTAGTAGGGACTAACATATCTTGTTGAGCTCTTATTTTTTTATGCATCCTAGTTACGACACCAAAGAGTAGATCATTTAGAACGTGCTATTAAAGGCAAAGAGCCTGTAGTAGTCACTCAGGTACAGACACCTGAGCCTAAGCTTGACGATATACTCACCAAACTTGGAAACTTATCCTTAGGACCACCTTTGGATACAGAGGCCAAGATCCCTTGGCACCAACTTACTGTTCCCAACAGTAAGATCCTCTCCTTCGGGACCTAATGTCTCGAACCAGAACCACAACAGGAGTTGAACCCTTCACAGGGACTGCTCGTGTTATCAGAGAACGAGGTAGCACCAGCACCTCCAGACCTCTCCTAGACAGACTTATGTCTCTAGGAAGAAGCAGACAAGAAGAAGGAGATGTTTCATTAGACGAAATCATCCAACCCGGCCAGGACTATGACAGATTTGCTTGCAGCAGAGGAATTGACTTGCTTAGCGCAAGAACCCTCTACAGAGCAGGAAGACTGGCCTATCACACCGGATTCTTCAAGCATCACCGAGAAACACGCATCAGATGTTTTACCGGCGACGCAGTCACAAGAACCCTCTTCAGCACAGAAGCTGCTGAGAAGCTTTATACAGACCAGAAGCAATATCAGTACATGCATATGGGACTGATAGTCATTGGCATAAGTGGCCTTATGCGACAAGACACTGGCTGTAAGACCCTGGTCACCATCTATGATGAAAGATGGAAGGACATGGGAAAAGCATTAATAGGACTCACGGAAGTAGATATGAACCGCAGTCGTGGCATATTCTACTGCAGCCCTAATTATATGCTTACCATTGATGACTTTGTCAGGTTCATCAAGATTGGTATTCAGACTAAAGGCTATGAATCAGCAGACGAAGGAGATAACAACCTCTTCACCATTGGATTCTTAGGAAGATGTACAACTAGAAGCAGAGCAGATTTCAAAGTCAAGATTGACGAAACTGTAAAGCTTATCAGTACACAGGGACTGGAGATGTGCCCACCTGAAGCATATAGTCCAACTATACATGCAGGACAGGAATGGGAAATGAGCAAGTTCATCAAGAAAGCTCAAGTACTCCAACCAACAAGCACTGTGATGAACACAGACAGAAGTGGAAATATGTCCGTCAGATTCAACGGATATAGCCTCCAAATTCTCACTTGTGATCCAGTTGAGCAAAAGGAAGATGAACATCCTCCCAACAGGGAACTTGTTTATATAAAAACAGAACCTGGTACGATCAGCAGAATAGTCAAAGATAAAATCCTTTACCCCGTGGAAATGGGAATGACTGATCTTACACCAGAAGAACTTACGGAGTTAGAAGACCAATGTCGCTCTACAGGACAATTGGTAGCAGGACAGTTTTTACACTATGATCTTGAAAAGAACATCCGTATTCTAGAAGTCTCCACAGAAGAACCAGAGATTCTCATCTATGGAGAGGACAGTGATGATGAAGATAGCATCAGCCAGAGTGATGATTTCCATGAAATCAGCCTCACATATGATCTTGAAACCATCACAAGATCCCTAGATTTAGTAGCTGTCCAAAGCAGCACAAATCTAATAGAAGACCTGGACTATGGACCAGAACCAGAACCTGATCCACCAGATCCAGAACCTGATCCTGAATTACAAAGCGTAATCAGTGAGGTAGACACGCTCAGCATTGCTAGCCATATATCCTATAAGAAGGAATTTATGGAAAGAGGCGGAGCTCAGACACAATCCACTCCAATGGAGGAAGAAGTGACATCCAGACCAAACCCTAATCATAGACCTAGGGGAGAAACCACTTCTACCAGCAATCTTCCACGACGACCCAGTCAGAAGTATTCCAGGAGAATGGATCAGATCAGAAACCATGACCAGAATGAATTAGTTCATTATCATGATTCAGATTCTGATAATGAGTTAATTAATGACTTTGGTACAGAAACAAGAACCCTTGCAGGATGGACATCCGATGCTGTTCTCTCAAATCTTGTTCACATTACCTTAGTTCACCCTTCCGAATGTATCCATGAATGGAAAACATCTGAAGGATCAGACAGTACCCCTTGCTTTTATTGCAAATGGTATCCCAGCCTTCTCAAAAGAGCTAAGTGCCCCAAGTGTTATACTGAGGGATGTATTTCATGCATCAACAGTACCTATAATCTTAGCCTTAGTACCTCTTTTGCCAAGCCAACCCAAGATATAGGCAACCTAGAATTAAATATTCTATCCAGAAAAGTGGCTAATCTTGAAGACCACAACCAGATGCTCTACTCCAAGATCGCTCATCTTGAAGATAGGATAAGTTGTTTAGACAAAGGTAAGCAGCCTCTAATCAACCCTGACCCCTCTGGGATCGGTGGATTAAGCCTGTGTAACCTTGCACAATATACTCCACAAACTACAGAGTATATTTACAACCAAGACGTCTCTCTCAAAACCATTAAGGTTAGCTGCGAGATTAGACTTAGACATCCCAAGACTAAAGAGTTGTTTATCATCAACACTCAAGCCTTGATAAACTCAGGATGCACAAATTGCATTATCAACCAGGATTTGATCCCTTCTGAATATTGGAGGAAATCTCCTTATTCACAAGATGCTCAGCAGATGGATGTAAAGTTATATACTTACACCCATACTGTTCTTCCTGGTAGCACAATTTGTTTCTTGACAAATTGTGGAGATTTTTCCCAACAGTATAATCTCCCTTACGAGGTTACTTGGATAAGACCGCTACAGCTTGGATCTGTAGACTTTATCTTAGGGTTAAACTTTCTGCTTGCAGATGGAGGTAGTGTTCTCCTCAGCCGAGACTACATTCACATCCACAAACAGACTCTGTTTACACCAGTCGAGGTCACTGCTAGAAAAAGACTCACCAGAACATCAGAGTACGTCCGTAAGCGTGGTGGACCCATAGATAATAATAAGACAATTGACGACATCGGAAAGAAGTTGGCAAAGTTCGATCAAGAACTCAACAAGCTGGAAGATGAAGAAGACTGTCAATGTTCAGTTAAAGGAAGCGGTAAAAAGAAACCAAACTTCACACACGAAGTTTCAGAAGACAAGTATGATCCCACAAGTGATCCTACTTCAGATCTGTATGAAGAAGAAATAACTTCAGCAGAAGTAGACTTAGACGAAGTCTTTTCCAGAAGCAACGACTTAGCAGACATGAAAAAGATCAGCCACACTCTGTTTACAGCTCCTCTAGATGATTTTGATCTAGAAGACTACATAGACAGATTAGAAAAACTCCAGATAATTGGTGAAGACATCACCAAACATTGGGAGAAAGACAAGGTCATTTGTAAACTGGAAATTCTTAACCCAGATTACAAAATCAAGACCAAGAAGATAGAATCCAACAATGAAGATCGAGAAGACTTCAAGATGCACATCAAAAAACTCCTCAGATTCAATGCCATCAAGAAATCCATCTCACCGCACAGATCTGCGGCATTCATTGTAAGAAAGCACAGTGAGATTGCCAGAGGAAAAAGCAAAATGGTCATCAACTACAAACGGTTGAACGACAATACTGTAGATGATGCCTATGATCTCCCTGATCAGACCCAGCTTGTCAACAACATCCAGAACAGTCAGATCTACAGCAAGTTCGACTGTAAATCAGGATTTTGGCAAGTTAGAATGCATCCAGATAGCATACCATGGACTGCCTTCACATGCCCAGAAGGACATTTTGAATGGTCAGTCATGCCATTTGGACTCAAAAATGCACCATCAGTCTTTCAAAGAAAGATGGACGATGTTTTCAAGACCCACATTAACTTTGTTGCTGTATATGTTGATGATATCCTAGTCTTCAGCAAGACAAAGCGTGAACACAAAGAACATCTTAACATTGTTTTCGAAGAGTTCATCAAGCACGGGATAATAATCAGCAAGAAGAAGATGGAGCTTGAAAAAGCCCAAATAGAATTCTTAGGCAGTGTGTTTGGTAATGGAATAACCCAGCTCAAACCACATATAAGTACGAAGATCCTAGACTTCCCGGATAAACTTGAAGATCTCAAGCAACTCCAATCGTTTCTAGGCCTTCTCAACTATGCCAGTCCTTACATAAAGGATCTTGGAAAGATTGCAGGACCTTTATATTCAAAGACTAGTCTAAAAGGCCAAAGATACTTTAACCAAGAAGATGTTAAGCTTGTCCAACAGATAATAATCAGAAATTATATGATACTGATCTTATTAATTTCTGTAATATTTCTGTGCAGATGGAAAGACTTCCTCGTAAGCCTGGCTTAGCTGGATTTAACCGTTTCGCTTCTACAGTTCCACTAGACGGAACTATGGTCAATTACCAGACTCCCACTCAAGCAAGCCCCGCTTCATCGAGTGCAGGTAAGACAGACAGACCAGCTTCACTTGGCCCAAGAAAGGGTAAAGGGAAGAAGAAGCAATTATGATTCCCCTAGCCTTGGAATCCAGTGGAAAGTGCTCTATGAACTCACTCGAGAACCAGAAATACTGTTAGCAAGTTCTTCTGAATTGAGGAGACGGTTATGCTCGTACTCATCATGTGCGGTGAGTTTGAGGTACCATATTTGATAGGGCTGAAAGAAACGAGTTTTTTCGTAACTTCCAATGGAACTGGAAATCCAAAAAGTAAGATGGCAATATGATACGACGTTTTTTGGTTTTTCCTTTTGTAGGTTTTGGGACTTCTTCGATGGTTGTATCGGAGGAAGAAGTAGGTAAGGGATCCGCTTCAATGGTTTCATCGAGTTCTTCGGAAGAGTCTGACTTATCAGAAAAGGCGTAAATTTGTTCGTTTTCTGAAGTATTTTTTTCGTCAGAGTCACTAGAGTTTTCATTCGGAATGTAACCGAAGTGGGTAAGCAGATTCTCATTTTGTAATGAGATCTGGCGCATACGAGTAATGATATGAGCGCTTTCGTCGAACGTGAGTTGTGGGTCGACATATAAAGCTTGTAAACAATTGAGCTGATCTATGATGCTTTCATAATCTTCTCGACGATAAGTAGAGGAAGAGGGTTCAGAGAAGACCTTAAGGGTTTCAACTTTGTCTTCATGTCTGTAGAACAGAGGTTTGACCTTGTAACGGGTAGGTTTTCCAACAGAGGGATATACTGGTGGAAGGGTATCGTCAGATGGAAGAGCAGAATCCTATGGTGGAGGAGGATCTGGTGGTTCAGGTGGGTATAAATCAGACATTTTAGCTTTTTGAAGTTTGGCTAAATCGATAGTCATTTGATTGATTTGATCTTGAAGAGCAGCATCTGGTGTGGATGAAAGGGTGAAAATCTGGGTAAGAGTTTCTAGTTTGTCATTCAAGGAGATCATTCCTTGTTGGACATCTTCAAAGGAGGAAGCCATATGGGTGTTGGTTGCCTCTAAATTGTGCTGGAAATCGATTTTCCAGTCAGTAACCATGTCGACAAGAAAGTTGATTCCTGCCCCTACTTGTGTAAATGAAATAGGTTCTGTAGAAGTGAAATGGGAGATATGGCGATAATTATTGATATCATGACCGGTAAGGTTTCGGATACAGTTTACAGAGCTATTTTGTGCCATCGTTATAGAGTCTCAGATGTTTAGAAATCTGTTCTGGTGCCTAAAACCAATGGTTCCTGTAAGCAGCTTAACAATTGTCGTAAAAGTCATACAGACACTGACATATAAGCAAAGACAGGAGAATATGGGCTTGCAACAGTATTCAAACATAAGAGAGAAATAACATAAGCACAACTTAGATACTGAAAACTTTATTACATAGAAACATAAAACTTACAGTGGTCCAGATTCGAGGTAGGCTCTGATACCAATTACAAACACATGCGGAATTACAACAGACCTTTACAAGACAAGGGGAAACTGAGAGATTTACAAACACAGAAACAAAAACAGATGCCTAAACCTTCTTGGGGCTTTGGTTTAAATAGCATTACAAAAGATAAACAGTGCCGGAGGAGATAAGAGCGAATCTTTTCTTTTACTGTTTGAAAAAGTGAGTGTCGGCAACTTTCACTGTTGATGAATAGTATGTCGGCAACTTTCGGCTACTTTTGCTTTTGGAAAAGTAGATAAGACATGTCTTCTGTCGTGTGCTGGATCATGATTGCAGTCGAGTGGAGAAGAGTGTCGGTTATCCTTCCATTGCATTAATGATATTATGGAGTTCATATTCATCAAGAGGAGGAATACTGGCAGGCGACTGTGCATCGGCAATATCCCATTCAAGATTGAGGCGTTCAGCCCCGTCTTTGACACGAGAGGGGATATCCAGTGTAGTCATGCTAACGATTTCTTTTAAAAATGCTGTAGCAGTCTGAATCTGGTGTTCACCATTCATCTCATCACCATAATAACAAGTGATTGTAGTGACAAAGAGTCTGCGTCCGTCACAACAATAAAATATGGGTTCTTGATTATAATAAGAGCCATCAAGAAAACGTCGAGCAGTGTCTTGGAGATGTAAGAAACTGTGAATTTCGAAGTAATAAGGAACAATACTGTTAGCAAGTTCTTCTGAATTGAGGAGACGGTTATGCTCGTACTCATCATGTGCGGTGAGTTTGAGGTACCATATTTGATAGGGCTGAAAGAAACGAGTTTTTTCGTAACTTCCAATGGAACTGGAAATCCAAAAAGTAAGATGGCGACTATATTGCCAGTGTTTGCTTACTTTGTAAATCATGGATTTTATCATGGCGGGGAAAAAATGATAAGAATCATGGGAAGAAAAAGTAATTTTGTTTACCAATCCCCAATCGATGGGTTCCATGGACCAGTCTATGCCAGGAATGATAAAGAAGGTAAGCTTAGGGACTCGTTTACCATTATAAAGCATATCAAAGGTATTGATATCTTCATGAAACATTGTATAATAATTTTTAATGGTAGCATAGTGATCTTCAATCTTTCGATAGATAATCCGAAAGAGATCGGGAGGAAAAATATCTCTTGCTTTTTCAAGGAGACAGATACGATTGATTTTTGCAAACGTATTGTGTGGAAAATCATGTTCTCCTACTAACTGGGCAAGTTTGAGAAAACAATTTATTTGTGATAGAGAAAAATCTTTTTCCCAGTCAATAGTCAGACAGATCTGTATGCAAAGCTTTTTAAGCTCGTCCGTCATAGCGGATTGTTCTGCTATAAGGGCTGTAAGAGAACTCAGATGTTGTCTGAATTTCTTGTTTGCACAAAGTTTATGTGCTTTCCAAACATTATTAATTTCATCATAAAAATTGTTTGGAAGTCCAGGATCATAGAAATTGTTAATTTCTGTAATATCTGGAGTTTTAGAAAACATTTTTTGAGAAGCTTGTCCCACATTATAGAAAACTGTTTGGGCTTCTATAAGTGTGTCATAAGCTTTAAAACAAGAGCCATTATAAGAACGAAGCTGTTTGTGACAGTCATTCCAGGTGTCATATATGCCAGGCTGGTGACCTGCAAAAACCACGAACCATTTTTGTGGTTGTGAAGGAGTTGGTTTGGAGATTGCCTTTTTAGCAAGAGTGATCCAACCTTCTTTATCCTTTGGTGGAGTATGTTCCGCCATCTGTTTGTAAGGGAGGAGAAATATCTTTGTTAGATACTTCTGGAAGTCTACTTAAGAAATCTGCAAGAAAGTTGTTAGTTCCTTTGATATGTTCAATAGCAAAAGAATATTGAGCAATAACATTGTACCACTTTAAACGTCGTCCGTTTAAGCAATTTCTTTTATTGATCAGAAAATCTTTAACGGCTTGGTTATCTGTTCGAATAATAAAATCTTCCGGAGTAAGATAAATATGAAATCGTTTGATTGCCAATGGGTGTCAAAGAGCACAAGTTGCATCATCAGTGAGGAGTTGCTCACCGGTATGCCCAACCAATTCTTCTTTAAGGATTTTGACAAAGCCGCGTAAAACACCGTCGATTTTATCGAAATTATTTAAGAGGGCATCCTTTTGTCGTTGGCCTTGGGGAGTTTGATCCCATTGACGAAGCCAGTCGAGAGCATCTCCTTGTAGGGTTGCTGAAAGGTAATCAAGGAATCGGTCGCGTTCCCAAGTTCCTTTGTAGTTATTGACGAGAATGGCTAAAGACTGTGCCCATTCGTCTATAGTTTTCAAATGATCTTTATATGGGACATTTGTAAGGTCCAGATAAGTTCCATGTTGTGAAATGGGAAACTTATTGAGATCATCTTTTCTTGTCCAGGTGGGGACTGTAGAAAAGTAGTATTTATACGAAGAGGTATAGACTTTTGGTTCGGCGGGTTTGGCTTTTTCCTCATCAGTCTTTTGGCCAGAGCCAGAGACTTCTTCTGCCGGAAGAAAGTCTTTGGTGGGAAAATCGCCATAGAAAGATTCGTCTAGAATCGTATCAGATCGACGTTTTTTGGTTTTTCCTTTTGTAGGTTTTGGGACTTCTTCGATGGTTGTATCGGAGGAAGAAGTAGGTAAGGGATCCGCTTCAATGGTTTCATCGAGTTCTTCGGAAGAGTCTGACTTATCAGAAAAGGCGTAAATTTGTTCGTCTTCTGAAGTATTTTCTTCGTCAGAGTCACTAGAGTTTTCATTCGGAATGTAACCGAAGTAGGTAAGCAGATTCTCATTTTGTAATGAGATCTGGCGCATACGAGTAATGATATGAGCGCTTTCGTCGAACGTGAGTTGTGGGTCGACATATAAAGCTTGTAAACAATTGAGCTGATCTATGATGCTTTCATAATCTTCTCGACGATAAGTAGAGGAAGAGGGTTCAGAGAAGACCTTAAGGGTTTCAACTTTGTCTTCATGTCCGTAGAACAGAGGTTTGACCTTGTAACGGGTAGGTTTTCCAACAGAGGGATATACTGGTGGAAGGGTATTGTCAGATGGAAGAGTAGAATCCTGTGGTGGAGGAGGATCTGGTGGTTCAGGTGGGTATAAATCAGACATTTTAGCTTTTTGAAGTTTGGCTAAATCGATAGTCATTTGATTGATTTAATCCTGAAGAGCAGCATCTGGTGTGGATGAAAGGGTGAAAATCTGGGTAAGAGTTTCTAGTTTGTCATTCAAGGAGATCATTCCTTGTTGGACATCTTCAAAGGAGGAAGCCATATGGGTGTTGGTTGCCTCTAAATTGTGCTGGAAATCGATTTTCCAGTCAGTAACCATGTCGACAAGAAAGTTGATTCCTGCCCCTACTTGTGTAAATGAAATAGGTTCTGTAGAAGTGAAATGGGAGATATGGCGATAATTATCGATATCATGACCGGTAAGGTTTCGGATACAGTTTACAGAGCTATTTTGTGCCATCGTTATAGAGTCTCAGATGTTTAGAAATCTGTTCTGGTGCCTAAAACCAAGGGTTCCTGTAAGCAGCTTAACAATTGTCGTAAAAGTCATACAGACACTGACATATAAGCAAAGACAGGAGAATATGGGCTTGCAACAGTATTCAAACATAAGAGAGAAATAACATAAGCACAACTTAGATACTGAAAACTTTATTACATAGAAACATAAAACTTACAGTGGTCCAGATTCGAGGTAGGCTCTGATACCAATTACAAACACATGCGGAATTACAACAAACCTGTACAAGACAAGGGGAAACTGAGAGATTTACAAACACAGAAACAAAAACAGATGCCTAAACCTTCTTGGGGCTTTGGTTTAAATAGCATTACAAAAGATAAACAGTGCCGGAGGAGATAAGAGCGAATCTTTTCTTTTACTGTTTGAAAAAGTGAGTGTTGGCAACTTTCACTGTTGATGAATAGTATGTCGGCAACTTTCGGCTACTTTTGCTTTTGGAAAAGTAGATAAGACATGTCTTCTGTCGTGTGCTGGATCATGATTGCAGTCGAGTGGAGAAGAGTGTCGGTTATCCTTCCATTGCATTAATGATATTATGGAGTTCATATTCATCAAGAGGAGGAGTACTGGCAGGCGACTGTGCATCGGCAATATCCCATTCAAGATTGAGGCGTTCAGCCCCGTCTTTGACACGAGAGGGGATATCCAGTGTAGTCATGCTAACGATTTCTTTTAAAAATGCTGTAGCAGTCTGAATCTGGTGTTCACCATTCATCTCATCACCATAATAACAAGTGATTGTAGTGACAAAGAGTCTGCGTGCGTCACAACAATAAAATATGGGTTCTTGATTATAATAAGAGCCATCAAGAAAACGTCGAGCAGTGTCTTGGAGATGTAAGAAACTGTGAATTTCGAAATAATAAGGAACAATTCTGTTAGCAAGTTCTTCTGAATTGAGGAGACGGTTATGCTCGTACTCATCATGTGCGGTGAGTTTGAGGTACCATATTTGATAGGGCTGAAAGAAACGAGTTTTTTCGTAACTTCCAATGGAACTGGAAATCCAAAAAGTAAGATGGCGACTATATTGCCAGTGTTTGCTTACTTTGTAAATCATGGATTTTATCATGGCGGGGAAAAAATGATAAGAATCATGGGAAGAAAAAGTAATTTTGTTTACCAATCCCCAATCGATGGGTTCCATGGACCAGTCTATGCCAGGAATGATAAAGAAGGTAAGCTTAGGGACTCGTTTACCATTATAAAGCATATCAAAGGTATTGATATCTTCATGAAACATTGTATAATAATTTTTAATGGTAGCATAGTGATCTTCAATCTTTCGATAGATAATCCGAAAGAGATCGGGAGGAAAAATATCTCTTGCTTTTTCAAGGAGACAGATACGATTGATTTTTGCAAACGTATTGTGTGGAAAATCATGTTCTCCTACTAACTGGGCAAGTTTGAGAAAACAATTTATTTGTGATAGAGAAAAATCTTTTTCCCAGTCAATAGTCAGACAGATCTGTATGCAAAGCTTTTTAAGCTCGTCCGTCATAGCGGATTGTTCTGCTATAAGGGCTGTAAGAGAACTCAGATGTTGTCTGAATTTCTTGTTTGCACAAAGTTTATGTGCTTTCCAAACATTATTAATTTCATCATAAAAATTGTTTGGAAGTCCAGGATCATAGAAATTGTTAATTTCTGTAATATCTGGAGTTTTAGAAAACATTTTTTGAGAAGCTTGTCCCACATTATAGAAAACTGTTTGGGCTTCTATAAGTGTGTCATAAGCTTTAAAACAAGAGCCATTATAAGAACGAAGCTGTTTGTGACAGTCATTCCAGGTGTCATATATGCCAGGCTGGTGACCTGCAAAAACCACGAACCATTTTTGTGGTTGTGAAGGAGTTGGTTTGGAGATTGCCTTTTTAGCAAGAGTGATCCAACCTTCTTTATCCTTTGGTGGAGTATGTTCCGCCATCTGTTTGTAAGGGAGGAGAAATATCTTTGTTAGATACTTCTGGAAGTCTACTTAAGAAATCTGCAAGAAAGTTGTTAGTTCCTTTGATATGTTCAATAGCAAAAGAATATTGAGCAATAACATTGTACCACTTTAAACGTCGTCCGTCTAAGCAATTTCTTTTATTGATCAGAAAATCTTTAACGGCTTGGTTATCTGTTCGAATAATAAAATCTTCCGAAGCAAGATAAATATGAAATCGTTTGATTGCCAATTTTATTGCTAGAAGTTCTTTTTCATAAATAATATAATTCTGTTCATTGGGTTTAAATTTACCAGAATTATAACCACAAATTAACTCTTCTTTTTGAAGGAGTTTGGGTATGGGAGCTTTACGAGCTCGGATCATGGGAGAAGAAGGAGTGTCATCAACCCATTTTTCTTGAGGAATAGCTTTTAAGACACATCCCCAACAGAGGTCTGAGGCATCTGTTTCAAGAATAAGTTTATCTCCGGTTTGAGGAAAATAAACTTCAGGAATATGGACTAAATCAGCTTTGATTTGTTGGATAATGGTGGTATCACTATCAGTCCAGTCAAAAGTGACATTTTTCTGTAGCTTCTTTAATAAAGGAAGTTCCTTTTGAGCTAACCCTTTAATAAAGGAGCGGCCATAATTCAAGATGCCCAAAAAGCTTTGAAGTTGCTTTTTATCTTGAAGGATGTCAGGGAAATCACGGATCTTAATAATTATGTGATCCTGTAGTTTTATACCCTTGTGAGTTAAAACTAATCCCAGAAAATCAATAGATTCTTTTTCAACATCTATCTTTGTTGGAGATAAAATGATGCCGTATTTCTTTAGTTTTTCTGAAAGACAGAGAAGATGTTTTTTATGTTCATCTCTTGTTTTAGAGAAAACTAAAATATCATCTATGTAAACAACAACAAAATCTTTAAGATCATTAAAGATAGAATCCATCCAGCGCTGATAGATTTGTGGTGCTGTGTTAAGACCAAAAGGCATAACGGTCCATTGATAGTGGCCGTGAGGGGTACTAAACGCCGTAAGCGGTTTGGACTTCTTGCGCAGTTTGATCTGCCAGAAGCCTGCTTTACAATCAAACTTACTAAAGATTGTAAATCCACGAGTTTGATTGATGAGAACATCTTTGCGTGGGATAAAATATCCATCGAAAATTAGATGTTCATTGAGCCGTTTATAGTTGATGACCATGCGGGCTTTGCCACGTTTGACTTCACTATGGTTTCTCACCATAAAAGCAGGGCTGCTATGTGGACTGCGGGTGCGTTCGATGAGTTTTTTCTCAAGGAGGTCTTGAAGTTGTGTATCAAATTCATCAATGTCTCTTCGCAGATAGATCATGGGTTTAACACGAATGATGACATTGCGATTTTTGAGTTGAAGTTTACAGAAACGAGGACTTCTTTTCCACAGGGTAAGTGGATTCTCTGAGAAATTTTGCCGGAGTGACGCATATAGCCAATGGGTGTCATTGAGAACAAGTAAGTCTGAGTCTCGTTTGGGTGGAGAGAACTTTTCATTACAAACAGAGGCTAAATTTTCCTGAATAGGGATTTCAACGACTGTTTGATCTTTGAGAGTTAAAGAAATGGTTTTTTCGTTTAACTGTAAAGGAAGATAACTATAGATAAAGTTACATCCTAAAATAAAATCACCGTGCATGTAAGGAAAACAAAGAATTTTTGGGATAATGAACTTTTTATCATTAAGCCAGATAGCAACGTCCTTTGCTTTAAACTGAATCACATTCAGAGGTGCTTCAGCATCAATGCCTTGAACTCCAATGGGGTGTTTCATTTGCTGCCATTTTTCGGACGGCAGGGCATTATATCGACAACAACTGGTAGTTGCACCTGTATCTATTAAAACACAAAGGCTATAGGGTTTATATCCTTTGAAGTTGAGGATACCGTTAACATAAGTATACTTGCGCTTTTTGCCTTGAGAAGGAGCAAGTAGAATTTCATCATTTCCGGTGCGAAAATGGAAGAATTTTGCGGAGTTCATTTTATGATTTGAACCAGGCAAAAAGGGAGCATTGCCGGGAGGATCTACAGGAGCTTTGCCTTTTTCGGTCCAGGTGAATCGTCGGCGAGGAGGTATATCGACTGACGTTCTTGGGGGAAGGATTCTTTCCCATCCAGGATTTCTCTCAGATACGGAGCGTTGTATCTGAGGCGGTTTTGCTTTATTTGTAACATAAAGATTAGAACCGGAGGCATGAATTGTAGCCACAGTGGGTTCTGTAATTCGTAACTTGGGTACAGAATTGATGTTATCAAATAACCAAGTTTTAGGGATCTCAAGATCTGTCCAATTGAGAAGTTTGGGCTCAATTATGGTATCGAATGGTCTTGGTTCAAATAAAGTGACTAGTTTGGAGTCAAGTGTAGGAACAGTAACGGTTTCTGGTTCTCGAGTGAGTTCATAGAGCACTTTCCACTGGATTCCAAGGCTAGGGGAATCATAATCCATTTGTAGTTTGGACAACTGGAGTTTAACTTGAAGGACCTTTTCTATGTTTGGGTCCGAAAGTGAAATGAAATAATTTGGTTTGATTTTAAACCAAATGAGGTTGTTGACCAAGTTAGATTGGACACCGCCGATAAGTGCATCAACTGGTTTATGAAAACGATTATCCATGAGGAGTGCAATTAGTGGTTGATCAGTTCCACGTCGAAAAAGAGAAGTGATTTTGATTTGCACTAAACCAATATGAATATAACGAGCGATAGGATTTTGCTGTTTCCAGCGCTCAATTTTATCCTTGCTAAGGATATTAAAACCACATTGACCATTTGCTGTGTAGTCAATTGTTGTATTTCCACTGAATTGTTCTAAAATTCGTTTGGAAAAGATGGCAAAACGTGAAGTTTTATAAACTTCTTCGTTTTTGATTCGTTGAAGTTTATCGAACTGAATCAATTGTTCGTTTGTGAACTGAACTTCTTCGCCAATGATGTCGCTAAGCTTAATGTTAGTGTTTTCTTCTGGGAGGGAAGGAGTAACGTTCATCATGTAGATATTTTCAATATCTGTGTCTTCTTCGTCGGTATCACTGGTGGAGGTACTGGAAGAGCTACTGGTATAAACACTACTGGAGAGTTCATACAGGATGGTAGAGGGATCGGTGATGTCACTACCATAGACAACACAGAGGTTATCGGTCTGTAAGCGTTTAACCATTTTTGAAGCCTTTTTGCCTTTTTGGGGGCAGTTAGTGGAATAATGACCAGCTTCATTGCAAATATAACATTTACAATCCTTTTTTGTTTCAATGGATTTGGAAGCCTTTGAGGATTTTTTGTGTCCTTTGCCCTTTTTCTTTTTCCCCTGTGTGGGCTTTGGAGAAGTAGCTTGTGTAACATACTTTTTGGAAGCTTTAGGGCGTCGTCCTTTCCATTTTTTCCAGCGAAAGGTTTTTCGTTGGGCAGGTCGAGCAGGGGTAGCTTTATAAGGCGCGCATCCGATTTTCCAGGTTTCTTGGAGAATCTTGTCGCAACAGCGTTGACCTTCAGCAGTGCCATTGATCTGGTTTTTAACCTGTTTTTTGGCTTTTGTCTCAAGACATTTTTCATTGATGAGACGATAAACAAAATTTGTTCGGAAACCAATGTTATCGGTTTTCTGGATTCGAACAAGGAAATCGGGATAGCCTTTGGCGGCGAGTTCATCCCATGGATTTGGAAGTTTATGAAAGAATTGGGGTAACCAATGTTCGATAGCATTGGGTGGAAGTCTACGGAAGTATTTGGTAAATAGTTTAACGTATTCAGGAAATTGGCAAATGTTGCATAATTCGATTTTCGAAAGAGCACAAGTTGCATCATCAGTGAGGAGTTGCTCACCGGTATGCCCAACCAATTCTTCTTTAAGGATTTTGACAAAGCCGCGTAAAACACCGTCGATTTTATCGAAATTATTTAAGAGGGCATCCTTTTGTCGTTGGCCTTGGGGAGTTTGATCCCATTGACGAAGCCAGTCGAGAGCATCTCCTTGTAGGGTTGCTGAAAGGTAATCAAGGAATCGGTCGCGTTCCCAAGTTCCTTTGTAGTTATTGACGAGAATGGCTAAAGACTGTGCCCATTCGTCTATAGTTTTCAAATGATTTTTATATGGGACATTTATAAGGTCCAGATAAGTTCCATGTTGTGAAATGGGAAACTTATTGAGATCATCTTTTCTTGTCCAGGTGTTTTTGTTTCTGTGTTTGTAAATCTCTCAGTTTCCCCTTGTCTGTTAAAGGTCTGTTGTAATTCCGCATGTGTTTGTAATTGGTATCAGAGCCTACCTCGAATCTGGACCACTGTAAGTTTTATGTTTCTATGTAATAAAGTTTTCAGTATCTAAGTTGTGCTTATGTTATTTCTCTCTTATGTTTGAATACTGTTGCAAGCCCATATTCTCCTGTCTTTGCTTATATGTCAGTGTCTGTATGACTTTTACGACAATTGTTAAGCTGCTTACAGGAACCCTTGGTTTTAGGCACCAGAACAGATTTCTAAACATCTGAGACTCTATAACGATGGCCCAAAATAGCTCTGTAAACTGTATCCGAAACCTTACCGGTCATGATATCGATAATTATCGCCATATCTCCCATTTCACTTCTACAGAACCTATTTCATTTACACAAGTAGGGGCAGGAATCAACTTTCTTGTCGACATGGTTACTGACTGGAAAATCGATTTCCAGCACAATTTAGAGGCAACCAACACCCATATGGCTTCCTCCTTTGAAGATGTCCAACAAGGAATGATCTCCTTGAATGACAAACTAGAAACTCTTACCCAGATTTTCACCCTTTCATCCACACCAGATGCTGCTCTTCAGGATCAAATCAATCAAATGACTATCGATTTAGCCAAATTTCAAAAAGCTAAAATGTCTGATTTATACCCACCTGAACCACCAGATCCTCCTCCACCACAGGATTCTGCTCTTCCATCTGACGATACCCTTCCACCAGTATATCCCTCTGTTGGAAAACCTACCCGTTACAAGGTTAAACCTCTGTTCTACGGACATGAAGACAAAGTTGAAACCCTTAAGGTCTTCTCTGAACCCTCTTCCTCTACTTATCGTCGAGAAGATTATGAAAGCATCATAGATCAGCTCAATTGTTTACAAGCTTTATATGTCGACCCACAACTCACGTTCGACGAAAGCGCTCATATCATTACTCG